CAGTGTGTGTGAGAGAGGAGGAGATCTGGCCTCAGGAACCCAGTGTGTGTGAGACAGGAGGAGATCTGGCCTCAGGAACCCAGTGTGCGTGTGAGAGGAGGAGATCTGGCCTCAGGAACCCAGTGTGTGTGTGTGAGAGGAGGAGATCTGGCCTCAGTGTGTGTGTGAGAGGACGGGATCTGGCCTCAGGAACCCAGTGTGTGTCAGAGAGGAGGAGATCTGGCATCAGGAACCCAGTGTGTGTGTGACAGGAGGAGATCTGGCCTCAGGAACCCAGTGTGTGTGTAAGAGGAGGAGATCTGGCCTCAGGAACCCAGTGTGTGTGTGTGAGAGAGGAGGAGATCTGGCCTCAGGAACCCAGTGTGTGTGAGAGGAGGAGATCTGTTCTCAGGAACCCAGTGTGTGTGTGAGAGAGGAGGAGATCTGGCCTCAGGAACCCAGTGTGTGTGAGACAGGAGGAGATCTGGCCTCAGGAACCCAGTGTGTGTGTGTGAGGAGGAGATCTGGCCTCAGGAACCCAGTGTGTGTGTGTGAGGAGGAGATCTGGCCTCAGGAACCCAGTGCGTGTGTGAGAGGAGGAGATCTGGCCTCAGGAACCCAGTGTGTGTGTGAGGAGGAGATCTGGCCTCAGGAACCCAGTGTGTGTGTGTGAGAGGAGGTGATCTGGCCTCAGGAACCCAGTGTGTGTGTGTGTGAGAGGAGGAGATCTGGCCTCAGGAACCCAGTGGGTGTGTGAGGAGGAGATCTGGCCTCAGGAACCCAGTGTGTGTGTGTGAGAGGAGGAGATCTGGCCTCAGGAACCCAGTGTGTGTGTGTGAGAGGAGGAGATCTGGCCTCAGGAACCCAGTGTGTGTGTGTGTGTGTGTGAGGAGGAGATCTGGCCTCAGGAACCCAGTGTGTGTGTGAGAGGAGGAGATCTGGCCTCAGGAACCCAGTGTGTGTGTGTGAGAGGAGGAGATCTGGCCTCAGGAACCCAGTGTGTGTGTGTGAGAGGAGGAGATCTGGCCTCAGGAACCCAGTGTGTGTGTGAGGAGGAGATCTGGCCTCAGGAACCCAGTGTGTGTGTGAGAGGAGGAGATATGGCCTCAGGAACCCAGTGTGTGTGTGAGAGAGGAGATCTGGCCTCATGAACCCAGTGTGTGTGTGTGTGAGAGGAGGTGATCTGGCCTCAGGAACCCAGTGTGTGTGTGAGAGGAGGAGATCTGGCCTCAGGAACCCAGTGTGTGTGTGAGGAGGAGATCTGGCCTCAGGAACCCAGTGTGTGTGAGAGAGGAGGAGATCTGGCCTCAGGAACCCAGTGTGTGTGAGAGAGGAGGAGATCTGGCCTCAGGAACCCAGTGTGTGTGTGAGAGAGGAGGAGATCTGGCCTCAGGAACCCAGTGTGTGTGAGACAGGAGGAGATCTGGCCTCAGGAACCCAGTGTGTGTGTGAAAGGAGGAGATATGGCCTCAGGAACCCAGTGTGTGTGTGTGAGAGAGGAGATATGGCCTCAGGAACCCAGTGTGTGTGTGTGAGAGAGGAGGAGATCTGGCCTCAGGAACCCAGTGTGTGTGTGAGAGGAGGAGATCTGGCCTCAGGAACCCAGTGTGTGTGTGAAAGGAGGAGATATGGCCTCAGGAACCCAGTGTGTGTGTGTGAGAGAGGAGATCTGGCCTCAGGAACCCAGTGTGTGTGTGTGTGTGTGAGAGAGGAGATCTGGCCTCAGGAACCCAGTGTGTGTGTGTGTGTGTGAGAGAGGAGATCTGGCCTCAGGAACCCAGTGTGTGTGTGAGAGGAGGAGATCTGGCCTCAGGAACCCAGTGTGTGTGTGTGTGAGAGAGGAGATCTGGCCTCAGGAACCCAGTGTGTGTGTGAGAGGAGGAGATCTGGCCTCAGGAACCCAGTGTGTGTGTGAAAGGAGGAGATATGGCCTCAGGAACCCAGTGTGTGTGTGTGAGAGAGGAGATCTGGCCTCAGGAACCCAGTGTGTGTGTGTGTGTGTGAGAGAGGAGATCTGGCCTCAGGAACCCAGTGTGTGTGTGTGTGTGTGAGAGAGAGAGGAGAAGATCTGGCCTCAGGAACCCAGTGTGTGTGTGAGAGGAGGAGATCTGGCCTCAGGAACCCAGTGTGTGTGTGTGTGAGGAGGAGATCTGGCCTCAGGAACCCAGTGTGTGTGTGTGAGAGAGGAGATCTGGCCTCAGGAACCCAGTGTGTGTGTGTGTGTGTGTGTGTGTGTGAGAGAGGAGATCTGGTCTCAGGAACCCAGTGTGTGTGTGTGTGTGTGTGTGAGAGGAGGTGATCTGGCCTCAGGAACCCAGTGTGTGTGAGAGAGGAGGAGATCTGGCCTCAGGAACCCAGTGTGTGTGTGAGAGGAGGAGATCTGGCCTCAGGAACCCAGTGTGTGAGAGAGGAGGAGATCTGGCCTCAGGAACCCAGTGTGTGTGTGTGTGAGGAGGAGATCTGGCCTCAGGAACCCAGTGTGTGTGTGAGAGAGGAGATCTGGCCTCAGGAACCCAGTGTGTGTGAGAGAGGAGGAGATCTGGCCTCAGGAACCCAGTGTGTGTGTGTGTGAGGAGGAGATCTGGCCTCAGGAACCCAGTGTGTGTGTGAGAGAGGAGATCTGGCCTCCGGAACCCAGTGTGTGTGAGAGAGGAGGAGATCTGGCCTCAGGAACCCAGTGTGTGTGTGTGAGAGAGGAGGAGATCTGGCCTCCGGAACCCAGTGTGTGTGTGTGAGAGGAGGTGATCTGGCCTCAGGAACCCAGTGTGTGTGTGAGAGGAGGAGATCTGGCCTCAGGAACCCAGTGTGTGTGTGTGAGGAGGAGATCTGGCCTCAGGAACCCAGTGTGTGTGTGTGTGAGGAGGAGATCTGGCCTCAGGAACCCAGTGTGTGTGTGTGTGAGGAGGAGATCTGGCCTCAGGAACCCAGTGTGTGTGTGTGAGGAGGAGATCTGGCCTCAGGAACCCAGTGTGTGTGTGTGAGAGGAGGATCCTAACGGAGAGCGTCGGAGGATCAGCGGTCGGGGTCTTCTCTCTGGGCTTCAGGGGCTCACAGTAACACTAGCACTAGTCGTCACACACTCGTTTAAACACACACACACACCAGCACGACGAAACTTCGTGTATTTACTAGTTTTCATAACACCATATAGACACAAAAAAGGCCAAAATTCATAAACCTTTGGAAGATATCACTGAACATTAACCATATTTACAGTATTACATTATTAACCATAGCAAAAGTAAATTTCTTACTGAAGTACATTTTTCATCTGTGTTTTTTGTGTTTATTTAAAATGAGACAAATGTGATATTTCAATCTTATATCTGTTATTGAACAGTTGAGTTGTTTAATGCTGATCTAACAGCAGAAACACTCGAGGGTTAAACCCGTTTAGTGCAGGCGGGGCATGTTGTCACTCTGCGTTACAATGATACTATTAGAACTATGATATTCTATTCTATACTTTATGAATTATATTGAGAAACCATGAGAAAAAAGGTGAATAAAGACGGAGTCAATGTTCAGAAACGATTAATTATTGTTTTGAACGATGCTGTATAGCTGTGTTTTCCGGTGTGTGTTTGATGTCAAACTCTAAATTATAAAAAAAATTCGTTATTTTATATGAAAAAGTTCATAATTGTCTTTTCTTGAGAAAATATTTTAGTTTGTCTTGTTTAATTTTTGATTAGATCAGATAACATGTTAATCTGTCATATGGCCATGTTATAATGTCACATTCACTCCATTCTTTCAGGGTAAATCAGGAAAAAGTATACGGTGTATTAATGAAGCAAAAGCACATAACTGTAGTGGACATGTGGAAATAATAAACCCTCTGAACCCTAAGTAGGTTTACACAGAGCACTCAGCTCCACTCACGCTCTTATCAGGGTTTATGGGAAGGATCGAATGAACACCAAACCAGCCTGAGTAACCAAAAAATAATTCAATATTTATTTGCAGTACAAACAAGTCTTGTATTGGTTTTCATATACTATACAATACATACGGACAATTTTATATCCTTCATAAACCAGAAAGTTGAACTGCCCGGTTACCAAGCCCAGTATTATACACATATATAGATTGTATCTTTTAAAAAAATGTTTACAGCACATATAAAACAGCTCTTTGACATTTGAAGCTGTAACACGATGCCGACGCATTGTCAAATAAAAATCCCTGAAAAATTCCTCGGTGAGGTAAGATACACGTTTCCTTATTCGCTCCTCGCCGTTCTCTCAGTCCTGCAGTTCCGGGTCGCGGAGCCGCGAGTGGCGACGGGAAGTGTGTTCTGGCGACACACACACACACACACACACACTCGACGCAGACATTCCTCCACAGAAGCAGCTTGAAGATGAACGGAGATAAAGAAGCCGGTTCAGAGCCGAGGCGCCCGGAGCCGGTACCGACACTGGGCTTCAGAAGAGCTCAAGCGTGAGTCGTCCGTGATATATGAACGGGACGGCGGTTGCATATCTGCACAAGATTAATACTATATATGTATATATATTGAGATATATGAAAAGGCCACAGGAGTCAGTAAATAGCACATGTATATTATGGGGTAAATCGAATCGGAGGAAACGCGCACCCAGTAGCCAGTGTGTGATGTCACTTCCTGTGAAGCAAACGCTGCTCGCCTCAAGCTAACCAAGCTAATCTCCGTGGATCGCTAGTATCAAAAGTAGAAGTCAAAAACCCCAGGCCATTTCTTCTAGAAAACACTGCAGAGGGTTGTGGAGTATATTGCAGAGTAACAAACAGAACCTCGACCGACCCGTTAAACACCGTTAGTCGGCTATTATTACTACTACATATCGGTTTCTTTAAAAATGAACTTTTTAATACAACGATTTCTAAAGTGAGATACAAAGAGTATTGAACAGTCAGAGTAGGAAAGAATTAAAAAGGTTATATAAGGCCAGCTTAAAGCAACCCTGTTAACTCGAGCACTCGTGTTCATCCGCTAGTCCTGCGCTTCGCTAACACCGTCCTCGACACTCGCACCTCGAGAGGATCGCATGCACAACACATCGAGTGAATACATACTTCAGAAATTAATACAATATATTCATACTGTAATGAGAATCACCAAGGCCTCGTAGACTCGTGTCTCACACACAAACGCCAATCTGTGGTTAGCGGTTTAATGAACAATGAGCTTTAAGTGTGTGTCGTCCTCGTCGCAGCCTAGGACTGGCAGGAACGCTCAATGTGTGTGTGTGTGTGTGTGTGTTGGAGTACCGCTTTTAAGTGCCAAGAAGTGAAAGGCTTCACCACTGTGCAAAACGCATTAGGTCACTGCAAACGTAGAGCGAGGGGAAATAAAGAGGGGGATGTCGACTCACAATGTCTGTTTGTGTTGGTTCTGTCACGACTTTGAACAACGTCTGCGAGGAAATATACAAAGATGTAGAAACTGAATGTATTGTGCACCTCTGATGCCACTTGGGTCTGAGCTTGGAGAAAATTCCCCAATACACTCCCTTCCGGGCAGAAAACAGGAACCCCAGCCGGCACGCCGCCAGGCTTCGAGGCACGTACACTTCCTCCTGTGAGCGAAGCGCTGAGCGTCTGCTCGGTGTCAAACCGGGACAAGAGAAGAACAGTCTGTTCCATAAAGGCAAGAAAAGCTGCACTGAGATCCACCGGAGCGGAGGGCCCCCGAGGGCCCGTGTGCCGAACCCCGGCTCTAAACTCCCGACACCGGAGATAATCATCCATCGAGTGGCAGAAACACTCGTCGAGTGGCAGAATCATCCGTCGAGTGGCTCCCCCGCCGACCCACGGCCCCGCCGGCTCATGTGGACTCCAGCGGGTCCAGCTGGAACAGGTTGTGATTGGTCGGCGTGGTGAAGAACAGCTGGTCATTGGTCGATCGGTTGTCACACGGGCTGTTGAGGCCCAGCGTCCTCTCGAAGTCCAGGAGCTGCCCCATGAAGTTGAAGTTGGGCGAGATGTTGGACTTCTTGCGCTTGACGAAGTCGTAGGCGTCGTTGAGCGACAGGTTGAGCTTCTGCATGAGATACGCCACCGTGACGGTGACCGAGCGGCTGATGCCCGCCAGGCAGTGCACCAAGATCCCACACTTTTTGGAACGAGCTTCATCTGAGGAACAGAAGAACAAAGAGGTGAGCCGTGAGTGCCAGACTAGCCCAACTGAAGCACACACACACACACACACACACACACACGCGCACACACACACACGCACCCTAAACCTACCCATCTCTCTCACTCACTCACACACACACACACACCCTAAACCTACCTATCTCTCACACACACACGCACCCTAAACCTACCTATCACTCACACACACACACACACACACACACACACACACACACGCACCCTAAACTTACCCATCTCTCTCACTCACTTACACACACACACACACACACAGGCACACACACGCACCCTAAACCTACCTATCTCTCACACACACACACACACACAACACACACACACACACACACACACACACACACACACACACACACACACACACACACACACACACACACACACACACACGCACCCTAAACCTACCCATCTCACTCACTTACACACACACACACACACACACACACACACACACACACGCACCCTAAACCTACCCATCACACACACACACACACACACACAACCCCTAAACCTACCCATCACACACACACACACACACACACACGCACGCACCCTAAACCTACCCATCTCACTCACTTACACACACACACAAACAAACCCAACCCCTAAACCTACCCATCACACACAAACACTCACACACACCCTAAACCTACCCATCTCACTCACTCACACACACACACACACACACACACAAACCCAACCCCTAAACCTACCCATCACACACACACACACACACACACCCTAAACCTACCCATCACACACACACACACACACACACACACACACACACGCACGCACCCTAAACCTACCCATCTCACTCACTTACACACACACACAAACAAACCCAACCCCTAAACCTACCCATCACACACAAACACTCACACACACCCTAAACCTACCTATCACTCACACACACACACCCTAAACCTACCCATCTCACTCACTCACACACACACACACACACACACACAAACCCAACCCCTAAACCTACCCATCACACACACACACACCCTAAACCTACCTATCACTCACACACACACACCCTAAACCTACCCATCTCACTCACACACACACACACACACACACACACACACAAACCCAACCCCTAAACCTACCCATCACACACACACACACACACACGCACCCTAAACTTACCTATCTCTCTCACTCACTTACACACACACACACACACACAGGCACACACACGCACCCTAAACCTACCTATCTCTCACACACACACACACACACACACACACACACACACACACACACACACACACACACACACACACACACACACACACACACACACACACACACACACACACACACACGCACGCACCCTAAACCTACCCATCTCACTCACTTACACACACACACACACACACACACACACACACACACACACACACACACACACACACACACACACACACACACACACACACACACGCACCCTAAACCTACCCATCTCACTCACTTACACACACACACAAACAAACCCAACCCCTAAACCTACCCATCACACACAAACACTCACACACACCCTAAACCTACCTATCACTCACACACACACACCCTAAACCTACCCATCTCACTCACTCACACACACACACACACACACACACACACAAACCCAACCCCTAAACCTACCCATCACACACACACACACACACAACCCCTAAACCTACCCATCACACACACACACACACACACACACACACACGCACGCACCCTAAACCTACCCATCTCACTCACTTACACACACACACAAACAAACCCAACCCCTAAACCTACCCATCACACACAAACACTCACACACACCCTAAACCTACCTATCACTCACACACACACACCCTAAACCTGCCCATCTCACTCACTCACACACACACACACACAAACCCAACCCCTAAACCTACCCATCACACACACACACACACACACACACACAACCCCTAAACCTACCCATCACACACACACACACACACACACAAACCCAACTCTTAAACCTACCCATCACACACACACAAACCCAACCCCTAAACCTACCCATCACACTCACTCACACACACACACACACACACACCTAACTACAACAAATGTTTTCTGAATGAGGTCATCAGGACTAGTTGATTAGCTTTAAGCTGTACTAGAAATGTTATCTTGATTTTAATCGAGGCTCAACTTTAACTTTTCACATTTCAAAGACGATTAGAGTCGGACCACAGATGTGTTATATAGGGCCGGTCTGTATACTCTGGATTGCTCGTTTGATCGATTGCTCCTGTCTGCGTCTGTAGCTCCGTATAGTTTTCTGTTTGAATCTCTATTTGCTATCATTCCTTGCTGTTCTTATTTGCTAAATTTAACTTATTCATCAACATATATTAGATGTCTAATATTGCCTATCCCATTAATCTGACATCGCTAGCACAACATGCTAGTATCTCGCTAGCCTGTTAACCTGCCATCTGTGCTTGTCGTCTTTTTTCTCTCTCTCTCACGCCTTTTACAAGTCTATCAAGCAACTAAGGGAAGTAGAATCAGTCAACAACCAAGGTGAGTAATGTCGTCTCCTAGTCTGACAGAACCCTGGCTATAACCAGACAATTACATTAGTTTTAACCTAGAATACTGTCTAACACTCGATGGCTGCTCTGTCAAGTCTTCGTCATCGGTTAGGAACCTGTGTGTGTGTGTGTGTGTGTGTGTGTGTGTGTGTGTGTGTGTGTGTGTGTGTGTGTGTGTGTGTGTGTGTGTGTGTGCTCTTTGATAATCTTTCATTTGAAAGTCACGTTTCTAGTCTGTAGAAACCTGTAAAACCGCATTCTTCCATCTTAAAAATATATCTAAATTACGCCATATGCTCTCATTGACGTCTGTGGAACAGTTAGTTCATGCGTTCATGAGCTCAAGGCTAGATTACTGTAATGCTCTACTGGGTGGTTGCCCTGCACGCTTAATAAACAAACTCCAGCTGGTCCAAAACGCAGCCGCTCGAGTTCTTACCAGAACCAGGAAGTATGACCATATTAGCCCGGTTCTGTCAACACTGCATTGGCTCCCTATTAAACATCGTATAAATGTTAAAATATTGCTGATTACTTACAAAGCACTAAATGGTTTAGCTCCCAGTGCTTGAGCGAGCTCTTAACGCATTATAGTCCTTCACGTCTATTGCGATCTCAAAGTTCTGGCCAGTTGATAATGCCTAGAACATCAGGCTATTGACTGGGTCCAGCGTATGCAATCATATTACTCCAGTTGTGGAGTCCTTACACTCGTATGGAAGTAAAGTAATGCCAAATATTTTTGAAACAAAAAAGCCTGTTGAATTGCACTACTTGAAAAAAATATGCATTGCATTAACCCTGCTTGTATTTTAATGCATTGTATTTTTAGGGCTTGCATTTTTATGGGCTGTAATTTAGCATGGTTGAATATTTAAGCTGTGAATATTTCAATTCAAAACATTTCAAAAGCATTTTCATTAGTAAAATTTCAATAATCCATATTCACCTTTCATATTTCACTTCCAAAATATTCAAACTGATTAAAAATACAACCTATAATATTCAACAGGCGGTTTTCAGTCCATTTTAATTCGCTTCCACAAATTCAGTGGTTCAAATTCGACAGTAAATTCAACGTTGACATCCAGGAGCTGCAGGAAAAGCAGTCGATTACCGAGCATGATCTCCATCTGCTGTTAGTCGACCTCACCAGCAGGGGGTGCAAGCGCGTGTTGGTGACGAAGAGTTAGAGCAACAGTTAGCGCAAGCCATTCAATCATAAAAACTCATTTACAATAATTGAGCATGCATTACGTTTTTTGTGATGATATCTGGGTCAGTATATATGCAGAAAAGATGATAAAGGCACAAAAGCTGTTTTTATGTTTCATTCATTAACTTCATTGTTACTTTCCCTGTGTAGCCTTACATGTTATCAGCTTTTTCTACCATGAACGGGATTATAATCGGTTTCCCTCAATACCTCATCATCATACTCAAGGATTCCCCTTCTGTCGGGACAAAGCGCTTAACGTAGCTTAATGGAATAATACAGTGATATAAAAGACAAAACTCGCACCTTATTGAGGATTGGGGAAGTATGCCAACATACATGTACTGCATTAGATTAAACTGGGAAGGGTCATAGCACTTTCATATTGTTGTTCTATATTGTATCTATATATACAGCCCATAAAAATGCAAGCCCTAAAAATACAATGCATTAAAATACAAGCAGGGTTAATGCAATGCATATTTTTTTCAAGTAGTGCAATTCAACAGGCTTTTTGTTTCAAAAACATTTGTCATTATTTTACTTCCATACACTCGCTCCCAGTCAGACTCCGAGTTGATTTTAAGATTATGATGCTGCCATATAAAGCATTGCATGGCTTGGCTCCTTATTTATCTGAATTGTTAATTTCCTATACCCCAAATCGGAGACTTCGATCTTCACAATCCAGCCTGTTGGTAGTTGCGCACACACACCGACGGCCTATGGGCGACGGGCTTTCTCTTCGTGTGCTCCTGTCCTGTGGACTCTCTGCCTCTTGATCTTACAGAACTATTACATTTTTAAAGGTTTTTCCTATTTAGCACCAAAACTCTGGAACAGTCTTCCTACCACTGTCCGGGAAGCAGACACACTCGGTCAGTTCAAAGCTAGACTAAAAACACATCTCTTTGACCTAGCATACACATAACACACTATAGACTTCTAATTGAACCGAATTTTTGTGCAGAACATCTGTGAAGAAGCCTGAAGACAGAGTTAAAAACAGCACAAACGTGTCTCTCCAGCTGGACTATCGTTCAGATAAAAGTGACAGAAACCCTGTGTTATGATCCTGTGTGACTGCTCCTTTACTACATCTCATTGGCTCTCGTGCATCATGTGACTTTACATCATGTCATCACACAAGATCCAATGAGGTTTGATGTTCTCGA